GGCCCCCTCCCAACAGAGAACTATCCCTTATGAGAATGGAAGTTTCCCAATTCTTTTGCTTTTATATTTTCAAAAGAGTGAGTAAAATTAAAGGGGCTTACCTGCTATCTGTACTAAGAGTTTCCATAGTAATGTGTCCGGGAGTAGGTTTTGTATGTTTTGTAATGGCTATGCCTAGGACAACTTGATTTCAAGGAAAGTTTTCATGCTTGTTTCTTTTCTCAGAAGGTGAGGAGGAGGAGGAGGAGGAGGAGGAAGATGGTGAGGAGGAAGAGTTTGATGAGGAGGATGAGGATGAAGGAGAAGAAGAAGGGGAAGATGAGGAAGATGAATTAAGTGGAGAGGTTGGTTAAATGCATGTCCTCTTTTTTGCTTTTTCAGTGTTACAGCATTTTTGCCATACCATCCAAGTATGAAAAAGAATAACTAGGCCTGTCTGCTGTCCTTGGTGGTGAAATTCCTAATTCCAAAAATGTGCTGAGTATTATCTGAGCTGTGCTGGCAGCTGGAACAGGGATGCAGGACAACTGAAATAATGAAATCTGCAGCTCTGGATTGGCGAGCTTTTCATCACTCTGCTTCTGCCAGGAGCTTGGTAGCAAGTGTCAACTAAAATAACAAGAGTCTGACTCACTGCGGTACAGTTTTTCACTATATAAAATAGTGAATTTCATTGTCTAGCAGAAATTGAGTGCCCTTCCAGCATGACTATGCTATATGAAGTGAAAACACTAAAATTTCAGTGGCAAATGTGGTCTTGCGTGTTTTCAGGAGGAAGAGTTTGGACGTGATGGTGAAGAAGAAGAAGAGGAAGATGAAGAGGAGGAGGATGGTAAGTTTAAAGTTTTGTAACAGCTCCTTAATTTTAACTTCAGGATGACAAGATTAGGATGCCAATGGGACAATGTGCAGGGCAGGTCTGGAAGGTGACAGCAGAGACTTCGAAGATGCATAGCCCAACTCATCCAAAAGGTTGGGGTAGGTAGCAAGGAGGGTGGGTAAAATGAAATGGAATCTAGTGGTGGTAATCATTCTTTCCAGGCTTTGGCTTGAGTCCCAACTGTTAAATTATATGGAATTGTAATAGTTTTTTACCTTACAAAAACTTATCCCTGCTATCACAGGGATGTTAAGAACATAGTACTGGAGCTATTTGAGGGATGGGGCAGTTCCACACATTATGCCTGGTCTTCTATATGTGGACTGCCCTATATATACTTTGCATTGGGATAGTTGTATTTTAGATTGGAAGTGCAAATAAAGACTGCAATAATGTGTTGCTCTAGTATTTTGTATCTTTTTGGTCTGTGGGGTGTAAATTTCTGTGCCTTTGATCAGCCACTTGCTATCTAATCCTTGGAGCCACAGGATGTACTTTGGTCCTCACTGGTCTCTTTTCACCTGGGGATGTGAATGAATGAATGCTGTGCAAGCAATTACCTGATGTGTAGAACCAGGAAATGTGCTAATTGCTTAGCCTGAAAAGGTGTCAGTGACAATCACAAGCCAAAAAGGACTGTTCTGCACTGCTTCTTAAACAATCTTTGATAATCCACTCCATTTTTGGGAGAGTTTTGTTTTATAACTTGGGTAGCTTAGATCTCATCTAGTAAGTGGCTCTGGAAGTCTCCTGCTCAAAACTTATCTCTTTATGGGGCTTTGTATAGGGCAATAGGGCTATGCCTCTCCCCTTGAACAGTCATTACATTTTCCCCCCATGTCATTGTACAGATGAAGAGGAAAGTGGGAAAGGTGAAAAGCGAAAAAGAGATGCAGATGACGAAGGAGATGAAGATGACGACTAAGACCTCCCGTGCCCCTAAAGGACTGTTCAGTATTGCTTGGGCCACCCCTTGGATGATCTGTGACTTGAGGAGCACATGAGGCACATCTGTAGTCGTTTAACAACCCCCTCCCCCCAGGTGCAGCACTCAAAGAGCCAAAGAGTCGGCCATGCCTGTGACATTCCACACACCCTGCAGCTGATTTCTCCAGGTGGTTACAGATCTAGCCTTCCTGGGCTAGCACCTTCACTTATCCTCTTGGGGTTCCCAGGCCTTCATCTCCCACCGTTGCCATAGCAAGAAGAACAAGTGTGATGGCTCGGTACTGGTTGTCAGGGGCTACACACTACCCACTGACTGTGGTCCCCTTTTTACTTTCTGTGCAACGAGGCTTTGTAAATAGAGTCCTAATGTTTTGGGGACTGTTCTTCATGCTTTGCTTTTCCTGCCTTCTTTTCCTTTTCTAAGCCGTTGAATATTTTTTACATTAGGATGTTTTATGCAACAACAGAAAAGTATTTTTAAGAACTTGAATGAATAAACGTTATTTGGTAAAACTAAACTTGTCAAGTTGTTATGTCCAGGTTTTAATCTGAAATTCTTGTGGCCTTGTATTTACTGTAAATCCACAGTATGAGCAGGATTATGTATACTCAGGACTTAAAAGATGGGGAAAAACCTTTCTGCATAAGTTGATTTTTTTGGCCCATATCAAGTTATATAATTGTTTCTGCTAGCCTGAATGATGATCCAGGATGTTGAAGCCCTCCCTGTCCAGTGCAGAACTTAAAAGTTCAGAGACATCACAACCTGAGTGAATACTGCATATGCATCCTGGTGCCCATGGGCACCATAACACATCTAAACTCATCCTCTTCTAGCTAGTGAATTTAGGAGTTCCATGCTAGATTCAGGAGCTCCACCCCCTATTATATGTGTATGCACACACACACACGTTGTGATACATCAATGAGCCAGCCAATAATTTGCTTCCCATTATGTGTGTATGGACAAAAAGCTGGCCTTTCTTGCATTACAAATTAGTCATTGATGTACTGGGTGAAGGTTGCAATCCTACACATCTGAATCCTACTGGAATTATTTCTGAGTGGACATCCACATAAGATTGGACAGAATAAAATAACGATGGGGAAAATATGTGGATATTAGACTTTACAAAGCAGTCCTACAAATATGAGTCAAATGTTGCTTCCAGGTAATTTGTATAAAGGATTGCAATTGAAGGCACATAATGCACAAGTGCATAGAGTGAATGCAAACTTGTTCTTAAAAAACAAAACCCAAAGCTCTTTTACTGAAATACTGGTATATGTAATTCTTATCTAAGGGCTTAGATGGTGTTGAAAGCAAAGGCTGTCTTATTTTAGTTAAAATGGCCCTTTCACATATTTTTCTATGTTAAACACTGCTTCCTCCATGCAGCTTAAGCCAGCTGGAAGCACTAGTCTATAGTTGAAAGCCATGCCTGTTTTGAAGTTAACAATACTAAAGAGCTTAAAGGGGTGAACTGGAAAAAAACGCAGGAAATAAGCAATTTGATGGAATTGATGTTTATGTTCAAATATTTTTTAAAAACTGCCAATTTAAGACCAAGTTCAAGGTAACTCATGTTGGCTAAAGCACCACAAGGTGGGAAGCCTGGAAAATTGGAAGGTTTGTGTCATAAATTGAGCTTGTTTGATCTTAAAACTTGCCCAGCTGCACCTATGCTGTTCCTGGGTTTTCAAGCCAACATCCAGATGGATAGGAGGAGTACATGGGTCCTTCCCACATTGTTCTGGCCCTGTATTATTTATGAAGTGACAACTTTTTTCCTAGAGAAATCCTGTAAGTTGACCCATAACTATTTGCTGCTTGTAAGCAAGCAGAAATTGTGATTTTATACAACATGGTTAGTGATCATGGAACAGTCTCCTAAGGCATCAGCCGAGGCTTCTAATCTGGCTTTGTGGTGTTTGAGCCAATGTGCAATAATTTTAACTGGCCTTAAATTGGTTTTTGGATCACTGAATCTACTTTGCTTTAAAAAGTTAATGATTACACTGTTTTGCAAAAAGAAAAAAGCTTGCTCAGTCATTGTATACAAATGAATAGATGTGTCCCTGTATGTTGAGAATAGCCTAGTTCAGAATAAACCTGCACAGAATTCCAGCATAGCATCTCTTCCCTTTTCCTGACTTTCCTTCTCAGTAAGAGTGATCCTCAGCCTTCAAGACTGCCCCATTCCTATCTTGGCAGACCTGCTACCTCTTCCTCACCATCAGAATGCTAACAGAAACAAGCGGAATTAAAAACATTGAACTGGCAGCCATCTAACTTCAGAGTGGAACTGAGCATGCCGAGCATAACTTGCTAGCAGTTGCTGCATCACAAAGCCCCTTTCAAACAATTGATCAGAATGTCACCAAAACAAATAAAAGGCACACCTCTCAAGCAATCAGAATGAAGTGCACCCATAGTTCCCCCAGCCCTGGAGATTCATCTAGGATACACCAAGCCACAACTTGAATAGATGGTACAATTGTGTCCATAGGTGCAGCTCTTCCACCTATGGGGTACTTGCCCAGTTACAGATTCATCTGGGTAGATCCCAGGCATTCTATTAGCTATATAGGTGCAGCTTTGATAAGCAATTAACTTTCATGGCTTATAACGGCAAAGCCCCCTTTCTGCAACACAACCTGAGGGCCAAGCTGAGTTGCCTCTGGATATGTGCTCCTTCACTTGAAACACAGTTTGGAAACAATACAACAGCAATATAGGATTGCTATGGATGCTACAAAAATATTCTGTAGGAAAAACAGAATTCTGTGATCAGCATGGACTACACAATTCCAGGATTGCATGTGCAAAAAGCTGCCATTTTGCTAATGAGCTACTTGGTATGGCGGGTTCTTCATTTGCAAAACAGCTATGTACAGCTGGGAGAGAATTGTGCATGGACCACCAGTTGTGCATCTGATTCCTCCTGCTAAGCATACAAAGGCGGGCAGCCTGTTAATATTTGCTCACCAGCAGCTCAGGTGAACAAGTGCAACAGTGCATATATCTCAAGTTGTCAATGTGTCACCAGTAATTTTCACTGGTATTCGTGGTTCGTGGCAATAGTAAAGACTGTGGGCTACTAACTATGTAGGGTTGCTTGCAAATAAGTGGTATAGATCCTAGTTGGCTCACTGCCATATTTACAGTAAATACCATGGACTTGGATTTATTTCCACTTTCTTAGTGAAATCAATCAGGCATTAAAATGCTTCCCTTTTGCTTGGGACATTTCTTCTGAAGCACAGTCTTTGCCAGTCAAAAATCTTTCAGCTGCAGTTTTCCTGCTCTGCACCTTGGATTATATTCCTCCTGGGTAAAAATTACACACAAAGCCTTGAAGAAACACCATCAATCACTAGTCTTTAAATATAATTAGGCACTGTTTAATAAAGTTTAACCAGTTTGCCATTAGTGTGTTTTTTTCTTCCCCTTTCCTCACCCAAACCCTGTAGGTCAGCTGGGCCTTACAGGTTTATCACAAGCAGTGCCACTTTAAGAGTTTCTTCAAGCCCCACCAGCTCCTGTTGGTCTGGAACCCTCACCCTTTTTTGTTCCCTCCTCACACTTTCTACCTTCATGATTAGGGAGAAGTACCTAGAAGAATCAGGATGGCATTTTCCCCACTCCAGGTTTCATAAACCTGGGAAATCTGAGGTTGCTGAACTTGAAACTAACAAGGACAATTCCTTGGATGGCAGTACTTTGCAAAAGCTAGCATGAAAATCAGCAGGTAATGGAAGAGATCAAAAAGAAGTAAAGCGGGGGTGGAAGTATCAAGGCAGCAACTACAGTATTTGTAAGGCGCACTGGGACTTTGTCATGGTGCAAATCTAAGAGTCATGGAAAAGGAGAACCCAAACCTGATCAAATGGACAAGAATGGAAGATGGTTAAACTGAACCTTTTCCCCTGATGCCTTACATTGACCCTAGTACAACGTTCAGAGACAAGGTGACAAAGGAGCGAAGAAACACACGCAGTGGAAGGGTGAGATTGAGGCAACTGGAAAGCCATTCAGTGCAATGTTGCCCTGCAGCGAAGAGCCCCGGGCTGCTCTCTTTGGCTGCACCGTCACGTTTCAGCAGTTGGGTGCTGGGCAGTAAGGGAGTGTCCAAGCTGCTAGGCAGGCCCTGGAGAAATGCGCTGCTCTTTGAGGAAGACCCGGGCACCCACAGGGGCAGGAGGCTGTTGGAACCGGTCTCCACCTTGAGACATCTCCAAGTCACAGAGAGCCTCTGGCTCCCCTCTTAAACTAGGAGCTCCTTGTGAAAAAGAGGGTTGGTAAACAAAGCACCCGTAAGAACTCCACCCGTTTCCATCTCAGGAAAGGGGCACTCCAGGCAGACAATCAGTTGCTGGGAAGCCCCAAGTGCTCCCTTGTCTGGACCATAATCCGCCCAGAATCGAGTCCTGTGGCAACAGCTGTCCTGGAGCCGAGCTGCCTTCCAAAGGCTGCTGAGCAACGTGTTGTCAGAACCGGCTTGAATCCTGGCGAAGGTTTTTGATCTCCAGGTCTAGCTGTTTGATCTGGACCTCACGCTGGATCAGCATTTCACGGAGCTTCCGGATTTCTTCCTGCTGTCGGTAGAACATCTGCAACAGCTGGAAAGCAGAGATTTTATACATTACTGTCCCTGTGGGTCTGCCATTATCTGTAATGGGTTGATGTTCCTTTGAAACTGTGCTGAAGCAAGGAGCTAGAGACTCCCCCATAAACCAATATGTGAACTGGGGATTAAAGGAAGGGAATGCAAATATAAAAAGTGACTGCTGTACATACATAAATACATAGTTCATGCAACATGTTCTAAAAGCTCCTGGCGTGCACAGTTCACACACAGAGCCATTCAAGTTTTAGAATAGACATCTATGACAAAATCTATATGCACCTCCAGACAAAGAAAGATACGGGGTTCAATAAAGCGCCACTCTTCTTCTTTTGTATGTGCACTGCAGCACCCTGCAGATGTTACTAGGAGCAAGAGACTCACTCAATCCCTGCTGCCCTCATCCAGCTTCTGCACTTGTCTGGTGCAAGTTATTTGAAGCTACAGTAGGAGGGGAGCGGGGTTCTTTTTTCCTCTTTCCTCCATGCGTCAGAGATAACACTGAATCTGCCAGAAGTATACATGCCCTTAGAGCAGGGATGAACAACTGTGAAACATAATCCTACCCCACCCCTTGCAGGCCACAGTCCTTGGAAGCACTACTGCAGTCCCAAAATAAAAATGAAATTAATTGGTGATCTGCCAGTTAAAATAGGATACAGAGCATTATATAAGGGTTGGATTTAGCTTGAAAGCCATTTAGATTTGATTGTCATAGCACTTCATTCATAGCTGTCACTCGGTGCCCATTGTGGGGTCTGCTGTCATCAAATTCAGAGGTATGGCTGATTTAGACCCACGCAGACCTGTCCTAGCTCTCAGGAGCACACCCTGAGGAAGTGGGTTTCCCCCACCCTTGACCCAAAGCTTTCTATGTGCTCACTCCTGGATTAAGCACCCAGCTTAAAGAGCTAGCTCTGGGTATGGAATCCAAACTGCTGACACAAGCCTTCTCTCAGGCAGAAAACCGTACCTCGTTTTCTGTTTTGGGTGGAGGACACTCGAACACATCAAAGCCATTTGACAACCCAATTCGCCTGTCTTCCTGCCCCCTTTCTTCCTGCCGGTGGCCCCACTTCTCCGGGATTCTGCTTGTCTTTTCAACGGTGTCAGCCATCCTATTCTGATACTGGTACTTAGAAGGCTCTGTTGCTTCCAAGGCTGTCTTTTCAGGAGATGGAGGCAAGGAGTCCAAGATCACAGAGCCTGGTCTCAGAGACATCAAGATAGGGCCTGGAGACAAAAGATGCACAACCATCAGGAACCAGGCGCCAGAGCTGGAATCCCTGGCAGCAATCACTCCTGCGCGCAGCAGAGGACACCTCTGACAGCTGACGCAAGCAACACTTTGGCAGTTTGAGGAAAGCTACCTGTGGGACACACCTGGCCATGGCGCTTCACCAGCAGCAGCCTGAAACAGGTGGTGGAGGTGGCAAAGAAAGAGAGACCACCCCTTCCTGCTGCTGGGCAAAAATGCTGCTTGGACACTTTGGGAGGGCTGTCAGAGACATTCACCAGCTACCCAATGGACAAAAGCATCAAATGGGGTTTGCTGCTCTGGACATGCAAGTGGCTAGTTTTGGGGGTTCACTCAGGATGCACTGCGTCTCCCAGGTTCAGACCACATGCGAACTCATCATGGATGAAATGACTCCAACAAAAAGCCAATGGTTGACAAGGGTAGCTGATCACCCTGACAAACCCACTGCAGGTCCACAAGTCACGCCAACTCACCATGGCTTACTGGGATATGCAAACCCAGCCTCTCTGTGTGTATCAGGGGAAGTGGTACCTCTCAAGTCACGCTCATCCCTTTTAAAAGCTACTTTATTCTGTCAGGCTGCAGCTAACAGGATTTAGAGGATACACCAGAGAGCTGAGATTACTTTCTTTCTGACCCTTCCGTATTATAGGTCTACTGACCTTTATTAGCACCGCTTATCCACTCTTGTGCTGTCAGTGATGGCTGGACTCCAGCTGTCATCGGATAGATGTCTTCCTGGTACGATTCTGACTGCAGAGGGAGAGCAGACCACATTTACGATGGCTGACCAACCTTCCTCCGGGGCAGCCCCATCCATTTCAGAAGCCGCCATGCCAAAGCTGAGGTGCCCACTCACCCGCCGAGGCACGATCATGGAAACAGGCTCTATCAGGCTTTTGACTGCAATCAGCTTATAGAAGCGGAAGATCTCACAGGTGGAGACGTCCAGTCCTCTCTTTGGCATGATCCCTAAAGACCAGGAAAACAGTTGTGTCAGAGCCCAACTTGGGCATTCAGTGGCAGCGTGGAGCTGGCTGCTAAAACCTTGCCCTTTCCACCACTGCACCCCCAGCTTTTCCATCAGTGTTCTCCGTCCATCAGTGTGCACACAGCTTTCAGGGTGTAATTCAAATTCTCCTCCCCCTCTGAACATTCCCGTCTCTATTTCTGCCCTCATCTCTTTAACAGGCCCCTGGCCACCCCAGTTCATTCATTCCACAGATCCTGTTGGTCCAAGTGGCACTTGCTGCCAAGCAAAATCTAGCAACTGCAGGGTTTCCTGGGTTTGCCGCCAAGCAATCCCCCTGCTTCACTCAAGCAGCAGGTTGGTGTCATCAGCCTTCCAAAACAGAAAACGGGCTTCTTACAGCTGCATCGTCAGGCAACCAGAACTGAGAAAGCTATTTAAACTTCGGAGGAATGGCAAACATGTTGCCCAAATGGCCTTCTTCACTTAGCAGCTAATTTCAGTCAGTGTGCTCAGTGGTTAAGAAAGTCAGCCAAAGGGAACTACCTCAGCCATGCTGCGACAGCCGTTTTAACATGAGATCACCTTAATGCTGGCCTTAAAACAGCAGGCTTGTGTATCCTTGAATTCCACTTATTTTAAAAAAGTAAATAAGGACACCATTTTGAAAAAAAGAAACCCCACAAATTTGCTTCTCCGCTAGGTCCAGTGAACTTAGTCAGCTTCCTCTGCGATAGAGAGAAGCCGCGTCTCTGCCATGCTGCAGTGGCTGTGACCAAACAGTGGGGAAGGAGAGCAGACTGAGGCGTGTTATCTGCCCATGACCAGCTGTTGCTCCCTCTTTGTATCTGTTGCTAACAGGCACCCTTTCAGTGCCGCCCCTGGATATATAACCAGCAGTAAAATTGCTGCAAACTCACCGATTCCTTTCTGGGGCAAATGGGAGCGGTATTCCATCAGGTAATTTAGGTATGGCTTCTCCGAGCTTATCTCATAGTACCTGATGTTCCCATCCCCCTAGAGACAGAGGGGGAGACAAAAAGGGCAGCGTTGTCTCCAGACGGAATTGAGCAGATGTTTCGCTCCGGTCAGCACTACATGGAATACATTATTGTTGCATGGGGAGCAGGCATGAGCTCCACTCAACAGGAGGCCAGAGATGAAGTGGGATATGGAAGCCCAGGTCTGACTCACCACTCAGCCCCAGGGCTCAGGCTTAAGCACCCTGGCTAAGGCTGCTTCCTTAAGAGTCAGCTTCCACCTTGCAAGGAACACCCTTTTCATTATTTATTCCTCTCATTTACAGAATTTGATGGGCCGATCAGGAGACACTGGACAGGCTTGAATGAAGCTTGACGCCTGGTGGCCTACAAGGCCATTCTGGGCTTAAAGGTACCAGACTGGGGGCAGGGGGGAGCAGCTGTGCTTAATGATGGGGTGGGGATTCCCAGCCACCACCCCCCTCTCTGTGCCCCTCAGTGCTCCAGCTGGCATCCCGGGGTGTGGGGAGCACTGCCACTCAAGCCAAGAGACTCCAGCCGCCAAAAGCGGGCAAGCAGGGGTGCCCCCTTTCCCCCTGGGCTCCTGCTGAGGCAGAGCAGGGCTGCTCACTTGGAGTACGGCAGAAGAACCGGCCACGTGGTCTGGCTTCCTCATGGGGAAGCAAGGCCAAGAGGCTGGACCCCACTGCCACTGCAGCAGCAGAGATGGGTGGGAAGAGGAAGACCAGCACAGTGGCTGGGTACTGCCAGCGGCATTTCCACTTCTCAGCAGCAGGGAGAGGAGAGGACAGTGCCGAAGGCATCCCTGTCCATCGCCTGCCCTACACAACTCCTCCTTGGGGAGGAGGAGTAGCACAAAGTGGCATGGAGCCCCGCCTGCATCCCCTTCCCGCAGTCCCAGTCCGGACTTGGGGGAAGGCACAAGTGGCCTCAGCGCTCCCCAGCTGCTGGGCGATATAGCCGGGCAAGCATCAATCGCAATGAGCCGGGCTCCCCCGGCCCTTCCCTCCTCACAAGCAATCCCACTCTGCCGTCCTCAGCAGGAGCACTGGATGGCAAGGTGGGGGGCATTTGCTTCCCCACACAGTGGCTGCAATGATCCTGCTTTCCTCAGTGCCCCCGGACGGTCTCCTGGGATACTGCAGAAGGACCAAGGTGGGAGGTGGAGGGACACGACCTTCTGCAATGCCAGATTATCCATCAGGTGCAGGGAAACTCTGCCTGCCGTCTTGGAGTAAACTTCCCAGGGGAGCTAATGCGTCATGCCAGCCCTCCCACAGAGCGCCTCTCAAAGTTCACTCTTTTGATTTCAATGCTTCTACGATGGATTGTGGTGGTGGGAAAGCACTTCGAATATGATCAGAAAAGCAGCAGGGCTGGGTGTGGCTAACTCTCCTTATGGAAAACTGTACCCCAGCCAAGCTGCTTTTCCACATGCATGGGAAAAACAGTTGAACCGGGTATCTTTTTCTACCAAAAAAAGGGCAGCTGGAGCAGGGGTGTGGGGCTTGATCAAGAAAACTGCACACAGAGAAAGGATGAGCTACCCTGCTGATCCACCACTGAGCCAATCAAATTCTGAGCTCCAGATGGTTGTGTCAAGTGAAGCAAAAAGGGTTGGAAGGAGACATCTTTCACTATCAATGCCATCCTTGTCAGTCAAGCTTCTAGATTCCAAGGACAAGGCCCTCCTCGCTACTGGAAGATGCTGCAGGCTGGCCTGGAGTACAACTAAGGTGCTGCAAGAAGGGAACCTGTCTTGGAAATTATTTAGACCAAGGTGCAAAATGGGCCAAGATTGTGTAATGTATCCATTAAAACACATATTAGATTATGATTTTTTCTCTGGCTGAAAAGCAGAGTAAGGACAACAGGCCTGGCAGATTAGGAGACTCACAGCTTTCCATTTGCCCTGAGCCTGCAGTCCAACACAGCAAAGCACAATCAGCCACTGAATATTGCTGGCAAGGGAAGAAAAACCCGAAAAGTGCAATGCTGGATAGCGGCAGCCAGTGCTTTTTTTAATGCAAGCAGCTGAACTGGGGAAGTTGACCTGCGCAGTGAGAAGATGAAATTTCAGCACAATACCCTTATAGAGATGACAGGAATGTTTAACTTACTCAAATGCCAGTTCTAAGTGGGGAGGCATTTAGAATTGGGAGCCAATCCCAGATACAGGCATTGCTTTTTTCAGCATTAATGTTACTGCGCTGAGGTCAACCGAAGTGGCATATTCAAACTCTTCGCCAAGGACAAGAGCTCACCTTGCCCAGCACATACAGCATGTGTGTGTCTGAGTCATAGAAAGGAAACAAGAGGCCGGATGAGCCATCCAAGTCTTCCGTCAGTAAAGGCACAGAAAGATCACTCTGCATGACAAAACAGAAACTGCTGCTCTAAGACTGCAACTGACACGTGCAACAGTAACAAGAAGAGCATCACAGGAGGGACGCTGAGCTGGGGCACTGAGTCCCTTTCAGCCCAAGGGCTGAACTCCATTTCAGAAAAGCTGATGGGGCTGCATTCCAGGACCAGCAAGGGTTGAAGGCCAAGAGTGCCGGCACAGTCTGGCTTGAAGTTCTTACTGCATGTCACTAAGACTAAAGAGAACCTTCTAGAAGCTGGGCAGCCACCAAATGATCAGAGGGCCCGACTGGAAATTTGGCCCATGGACCTGAAGTATTGGCATCCCTGATCAATGAGGCCTAGTACTCTGTATGGTGGTAAATCCAGGCCTGGGCTGTAAAGATGGCGAGTGGCTGAATGCTCCCACTAACAAAACAAAACCCCTCCACACAATTGTCGATGAGACAGGAGCATTATTATAATATTACATTTATATCCCATCTTCTTGAGAGGGCTCCAAGGTGGCTTACATAGTTGTCCTCCACTCCATTTTATTCCCACAACAACAGCCTTGTGAGGTAGGTTAGGCTGAGAGTCTGGGGCTGGCCCCATGTCGCCCAGTGAGTTTCATGGCTGAGGGAGGACTAGACCTTGGATCTTCTAAGTCTCCGGTGATAACCCCAGTGCCACACTGGATAGTTTTATATGTGGATGGAATATTTGGGGAGGGTAGTGTGTGTGTGTGGGGGGGAACTTTCAGACTTCTGAGCCTCCAGACTTCTGCGACCCCACTGAGTCTCTAGTCTGAAGTAGTGCAGACTAGATTTAGTACCTCTGTGAAAACTTGGCCTACCTCACCCTGAGGAAACAGGCACAAATGCTATTTTTGGCAGCCCAAAGGAGACTCAAATGTTTAGTGAAGCCCCCTGCAACCCAATAGCTATCTTGAACCCCAAGTCCCAGTATCTCCAGCCAGCATGCTAATGATGGGAGCCGTTGTTCAGTCTGGAGAATAACAGGGTGTGGATGGCTGGCATGGAGAGAAGGCCTAGGACAAGAGTGAATTCACAAGCTGTGAGGGAACAGCCTCACTGCCTTTCAGCTTTGTATTTGCCATGACATAGGGCTAAACCAGTGAGCTGCAGTCTTGCCCCCTTTGCCATACTTCAGGGGGAGGGTCCTCTTTTATTGGAAAAGGCAGGGAAGGCAAGGTCCTTCCAGAGCTGACCCCAAACAGAAATAAGCAGTGGTATCCTGAAGCCAGAGCTCAGAGAGGTGCACCATTGGCACTTTAAAAAACTGTATACAACACAGCAGAGAAACAGCGCTAAAAGGTTACCCATGACGGAACTAGCGAGAACTGGCAGTGCAACTCACCTGATCCCACAGTGCAATTTGCCTGTTATTCCACTTGGAAGTCCCTGTAGAGAGCAGCTTCTTCATGTTTCCTAGAAACAAAACTTTATTCACTCTGTGAGAATTGTTGTTTGCTTCCTGTAAGAAGACAAGGCATGTTACTAACAGGAAGTCAAGCACACCACACACTTTTTCTTTCAGTGAAGTCAGCCTCTGTTGCCTAATGGCTGAAAAAGCTCTGAAAAGCCTCCACCAGCATCATTCCCAACATTGCAAAACGGCCCAAGCAGCTAACACAGTGATAAGCTCCCCTCCTAAAGCCTGGTAAGGGCGACTCAGATCCAGCTGCTAAGGCACCAGGGCCCACGCATGGGACGCTGAACCTTTACCACACTCCACGTGAATGAATGAACCCTCTGAGTGAGGAGACTATGCCTGCTGCTGGGTGATTGGCGAGCTCAGGGCAGCCTGACCGGGGTGGGAGTGGGGGGCAGCTGGCCTATGAAAGCCTCTCAGATGTCCAGCTGTGGAAAGGGGGGGCTGAAACTGGGAGAGCTAGAAGCTGCAGCTGGGTGCTCTGGCCCGGCAGCAGGGGCAGCAGTGGTGTGGATACTGGGATGTGGGCAGACACAAGGCACTCGGAGTTCTTTGCAAGGGTCTTGTTGTTTTTCAGTGGCCTATTATTGCTCTCTGCCTCTCTCATCTCTTAATAGATGGGGATGTTTGTGTAACGTGATGGGCAGAGTCTCTGGGCATCAGATGGGGAGGAGAGCAGCCAGGAGCTGCTGTTCCGCCACCCACAGTAGCATAGTGGCCCTTGGGCTTGCAGTGGTGGTGGTGATGGGGCAAGCAGGGGCAAGAATGAGAAGTCCAGTTCCTGCTCTCTCTCTTGTACCTCGTGGCTCATGCACAATGGCGGCCACTGCCAGGTCAACACGTTGGTTAGGGATCGGCAGCTGCTGTGCATCGTACTTCCCAGTTTAATTCTGCTGCTGCTGTAGAGCCCTTCTACACTGGTCTTTTGATGGGTGTATGAAACATACATAAATGCATCAGGCTACTTTTTATGCAGCAGAGGATGCTCAGAAGACTCCCCTGTTAGTCCTTCATGCATTTATAATGTTTAATCCATTTCTTACCTGTGGCTAAAACAAAAACACCCAAGAGCAGGCCTCAATTCAAGGTGAGAGATCCGAACGGACCACTTGTAGGAGCTACTTGGAGCTCTACAGCCAGAGGCTGCCCATCCCTTGTTCAGCTCACAGATGTGATCTAACAAACACCTTCTCTACTCTTTCCTCCTCGTCTCCTGGATCATTTAGCCTTTTGGAGATTGGCAGATGCCAAGAAAAGGATTTCAGCATTAACTTGGGGGACAACCCACTGGAACTGCAAGGAGCAGCTTTGAGAGCTCAGCCCATTTCCAGAACCAAACAAGGCTGCAAATCTCAGCTTGTTGGGTTGGTATTTGTAAATAGTCGAGTGCCTGCCCCTTTAAAGGAGGCGGTAATACGACCGGTCCTGAAGAAAGCGTCACTGGATCCAGAGATGGCCACTGACTATAGACCTGTGGCCAACATCCCGTTTCTGGGCAAGGTG